ATTCGACGACAGGTGATCGCGGCGAATTACGACAGCTACAAAGACATCGTGCGTGCTGCCGAGCGATACGATGCGCTGACTCGAGGTCAACCCGAAACATGACGTTTCGCGCCGAACCGTACATTCGGCACGGAGCGATCGGCACCCCCCACGTTCGCCGAACCGATGGATATCGACAAGTTGGACGCGAAGCAGCAGTCGGCGAAATGTGAATTTTGCGGCGCAGCAGTGCATCAAATCTTGTCGTGCTACAAAATGAAGAAAGCACGTGCGGCACTCCGGGACGGTAACAGTGGAGCACCCCCGAAGTCAAAAAACGGAAATCGCCAGTAGCCGCGGATCGGCCTGGCGATCGAGTAAAGATCCGAAAAGCAGGAAAAGGCGACGACGTGGCGACTTCGGAGCGGGTGAAAAAAGGAGAAAATGATGGCGCGAATCTAAAACGTCACGACCGGCCGGCATCAGGGGAAATCGCCGAGGTGAATGGAGGCTCCGCGAAAAAAGACTCTTCACCGACCGGGAAACTCCAGCTGAACACCCACGAAAGTAAGAATTCATTAAAAGTATCCTATAAAGATGCTCTCACGAAGAATATTGCTTCTCGTGGTTTTCAAGCCTTCAAAAAATTCAGGGGAGGTTTAGAGGCCAAGAAAAAGCCTTTAGAAATTATTCAGGTGCCTGAGAAGTTGGGCAAAGTACTACGGAGCGTAGAAAAGGGTCGTGCGTTCCGTGACGTTAATATTCTCTCCCCGCAGCACAGTGTTAAGGCTCCCCGTTGCCCACAGGTGAAGCCTACACAACTGCCAAGGCTTAGAGGAGACATCCAGGCTAAGGAGAAATTATCCATGCCTCGGAAAAATCCTCCTACTCCCCAGGTGAAGTTGGAAAGAGCTGAGTCAGGTATAGGAAAGAGGGAAGGTATTAAGTTTGATGTACCATATGATCCTATTAACGAGACCCTCTTTGGCTACTCAGAACAGTAGAAACCACTAATCCTCGAGGTGTTATGCAATGGGCGACGCCTCCAGGCACTGGTGGACAGCGGTGCATCTCACTCGATGTGTGACTGCGGAGCATTGGAGAAAATTGGAGAGAAGGCGGAAGAGACCCAGTTTTCAGCAACCATGGTGGACGGTACGAAGCTTCCTATCCATGGCGAAGCATCACTGCAGCTGCATATAGGTGGGTTGAGGTGGAAACCGAAGCTACCAGTCACCAACATCAAAGGGTTAGATTTTATCTTGGGGCGAGATTTCCTGAAGCGGTTCAACCCCGAGATCGATTGGGTCAACAGCAAGGTGTGCATCTACAACAACGGGAAGCGGATAGCACTGCGAAGCTGGACGGATACAAGGGACGTACCTGAAACGATACTGGCACGGTTCGAACAGACGGTGAACGAGAGTAACACGGGTTACCTAGCACTGGTTATGGCAGCAGCAGAGGAGGAGAAGCCGAGTTCCGAGCTACCTGCAGTAGTAAAGGAGGTCTTGGAGCAATACGAGGATATAATGCCCGGTGACCTACCTGCAGGCGTACCTCCAGCACGCACCCACGAGCACGAGATCGTGGAGGAACCAGGTGCGAAACCCGTCTCACGTGCACCATACCGATTGAGTCCGACTGAACTGACAGACATGAAAAAACAGATAGAGTATCTACTGGACAGACAACTGATCCGCCCATCCACCTCTCCCTACGGTGCACCAGTTCTCTTCACTCCAAAACCAGACAGCAGCCTATGGATGTGCATCGACTACCGCGCACTGAACAAACAGACAGTAAAAAAAAAATTCCCATACCGCGCATAGACGACCTGCTCGATCAACTGCTTGGAGCAACAGTCTTCTCGAAGCTGGACCTACGGTCGAGTTACTGGCAGATCAAGATGGCGGACAACTCGATCCACAAGACGGCATTCCGTACCAGATACGGCTCCTACGAATACTTGGTGATGCCGTTCGGACTCTGTAATGCACCAGCAACGTTTCAGGCGGAGATGAATCACATCTTACGACCCCTGCTGGACGAGTGCGTGGTGGTGTACCTGGACGACATTCTCATCTACTCCAAGAACATAACGGAGCACGTGGAGCATCTACGGAAGGTGTTCGAGATCCTGCGGAAAAACAAGTTACACGTGAAGCTGTCAAAGAGTGACTTCACCTTGAAGAAGGTGCAGTTTGTCGGGCACATGGTGAGTGCCGAGGGCGTACACGTGGACCCGCGGAAGATCGAAGCCGTCAAGAAGTGGAAAGTACCAGAGAACGTGAAGGAGTTGCAGCAGTTCCTAGGCTTTGCCAACTACTACAACAGGTTCCTGCGGCAGTACGCAAAGTTAACAGCGCCACCGACCGACCTACTGAAAAAGGATACGCCCTACAAATGGGATACCCCTCATCAGCAAGCCATGGAGCAGCTACAGAAAGCACTGACCACAGCCCCAGTACTCATCTTGCCGGATCCAGACAAGGACTACGTGGTGGAAGCAGACGCTAGTGACCAAGCAGTCGGAGCAGTACTGATGCAGGATCACGGACGCGGTTTGCAGCCCATCGCCTACCTCAGTAAGAAGCTACACGGAGCAGAACTGAACTACCCCATCCATGACAAGGAAGCCTTAGCGATAGTCATAGCCTTCAAGGAGTGGAGGTGTTACCTAGAGGGAGCCAAGACTACAGTCTATACTGACCACTGCAGTCTCAAATACCTGAAGTCGCAGCCGACGCTCTCACGACGACAGGTGCGGTGGGTAGACTTCCTGGGTATCATCTACACTACGACATCATCTACAAGCCCGCGCTACACAACAAAACAGATGCGTTGAGCCGCCCCGGACATGTAGCAGGCATCCAGCTCGACGGGATGAACCCTCTGCTCAAGGGTCTATTCCAACATGGGTACTCCGTGGACGCAGAAATCGCTACAGCACAGACCAAGAAGTTGTTACAGTGGGAGAAAGACTTAGCTGTAAGGAAGGGTTAAGGAAAGATTTGGGTACCGAATTATGCCCCGCTACGGCAAATCCTATTGGAGGAGTTTCACGACGTACCTTACGCGGGACATTTCGGGAGCAACAAGACATTAGCAGGGATAGCAAAGTATTACTACTGGCCCGGGATGGCAGCAGACGTGCAGCAGTTCGTCACCTCATGCGACACGTGCCAGCGGATGAAGAGCAGCGAGCAGAAAAAAGCAGGGTTACTTCAGCCTCTACCTGTACCGGAGCAGCCATGGCAGGTCGTTAGCCTCGAATTCATTACAAGACTTCCTTCGACCTCACGGTGACACGATTCAATCCTCGTAGTAATCGATAAGTTCTCAAAAATGGGTCACTTCATACCGACCAACGCCACAGCTACAGTTGAAGCAACTGCTCGCCTCTTCTTCGACCGCATCATCACCATCCACGGCATCCCCGCTACACTCATCTCAGACAGAGACCCAAAATTCACGAGTAAGTTTTGGAAGGAGCTCATGGGACTGTTGGGGACAAAACTTGCAATGTCTTCAACATACCACCCACAGACTGACGGACAGACAGAGCGACTCAATCAAGTGGTTGAACAGTTACTGCGCACAGCTTGCAAGGACGACGTCAGCCACTGGGACACACAGTTACCGACCCTAGAGTTCGCCTACAACAACGCATCACATGCGGCCACAGGGAAAACTCCTTTCTTCCTGTGTTACGGACGGGAACCACTCACACCACAGCAGCCTACCACACCGGCACACGTCCAAGCCGCACATGACTTCGTCACCACCATGCAGCAGCTATGGGAGAAGACTCAGCGACGACTCACCACGATGCAGACCTCCCAGAAGCAGTATGCCGATCGTCAGTGACGTGATCACTCAGTAGCAGTCGGAGATCAGGTGCTTCTTGACACACGCAACTTGAACCTGTCTCACCTCCCATCCAAACTCCAGCCTCGCTTCTGTGGTCCTTTTCTCGTTGAGGCACAGGTGACACCAGTTACATTCCGCTTGCGCTTACCTACTACTTGGAAGCTTCACAATGCTTTCCATGTGCAGCTACTGAAACCCTACAAGGACCCCAACCACCGGTTCCAGGGACGGCAGCTACCGCCACCTCCACCTGTTCTTGTGCAGGATGAACCCGAGTACGAGATTGAGCGCGTTCTCTCTCATCGGCGCCGCGACGGCATGACCCTCGAGTTCCTGATACGCTAGAAGGGATACGACCCCACTGAGGACAGTTGGGTTGCAGAAGCTGATATGGGCAACGCACGCCGTGCTCTCAAGAACTATCTTGTCAAGCAGGGTGTATCTCACGCCACCCAGCTCTGAGGTGGGGACGTGTGAGAGTACGACGGCTTATGCCAGCTATGCTTGCTTGCCTTTAATTTAGCATGTTATTTCTAGCATAGGATAATCATATGCATGCATGAATTGCTTGATTTCCTAGGCTAGGTGCTTTCCTATATTTTATTATAGTTATAGCACCGAGCTAGGTTACGTGCACCGAATTCTGGCCTTTTTGGTTGCCACCGAATTGCCTTCTACCGAATTCGGTAAGGGTCTGTTCGCGTAACACCTGGTTACGGGGCCTTGTGTCGAGCCTATATATAGTCTTGTGTTGTACCGAGGTGATCATTCAATTCTATTCAATTCACATTCTCTTTTCTGAGCTCGATCCTCAATCCTCACACATTGGGAGGCAGGAAATATGGCGAGGGCCAATCCAAGGCCCACGCGGCTCGGGCTCAACCCATCACGCTGAGAATTGCGCGACTGGGTAGCAAAGCACAAGAAGCCTAGCCTAGCAAAGCAATCTTGTTCTCTCGACTTGTCTACCTAACATAGTAGATTTCTGTTACCATACTCAAGCTATCACAGCTAGGTGACTAGGCCATTCGAGGTAGCCATCCTGTGGGAGCCCGAAACTCTCACAAGTCGAGAGAAGTGTGCCGGCGATATGGATCGCCATGAGCTGCGGACGCACGTATTCGTGGAGGGAGCGTTCTCCGTCGCGTATGAGGCGCTCAAGGGAGCGCGGAAGGTCGCCGACGCGCTCGCCATGGAGGGCAGCGTATCGTGCGGATCTGGTGACGCCAACGGGCGTGCAAGGAGAAGGAAGCAGGGAGGATCTGCGCGTAAGATCGGAGCCTTGGAGGCAACCCGCATCGAGCAATCCGTGGAACCTGGCGGAAGGCCGGCACGGAGTGGACGAAGGGCATCGCGACGGCGACGTGGAGATGGAATCAGAGGGCAAGCTCGATGATGAAGAAGAAAGGGAAGAGCCCCCGCTTGCTTGTGGTCGCGGAAGGCAAAGTGTCGCTGGCGATGAAGAATTCCCCACTGCGCGGGGTGGCGGAAGGCGCGGCCACGCTGGCGACGAAGATTCCCCCACTGCGCGGGGCAGCGGAAGGCATGGCGTCACCGACGACGAGGGATCCCCCACTGCGCGGGGCGGCGGAAGGCGCAGCAACGCCGGCGACGAAGATTCCCCCATTGCGCAGGGCGGTGGAAGGCGCGGCAACGCCGGCGACGAAGATTCCCCCACTACGCGGGGCGGTGGAAGGCGCGGCGTAATCGACGACAAGGGATCCCCCATTGCGTGGGGCGGCGGAAGGCGCGGCAACGCCGGCAACGAAGATTCCCCCCCACTGCGCGGGGCGGCGGAAGGCGTGGCGTCACCGACGACGAGGGATTCCCCACTGCGCGGGGCGGCGGAAGGCGCGGCAACGCCGGCGACGAAGAGTCGCCCACTGCGCGGGAAGAAGGGAAGCAGGGGATCAATGAGAGGGATGAGGAAGAGCGGATCCGCCGTGGAAAAGCACGAGAGGAAGGCAAAGAAAACAGGGAAGGAGAGCTCTCACCTGCCGAACCGCGCGGAAGAGAACAGCGAGAAGGCGGCAGAGGAGTGGAGCGGCAATCGAAGGCGCGCCAAGGAGGCGGGACAAGTGAGGGGGCACCGGTGGGTGTCTTCCAGTCACCTGAACCAAGGCCAGGGTATGAGCGCTGACGACGCATGGCGGTGGGCGGAGATCAGCAGCCGGTTAAGGAGAAGTTAGAAGAAGAGCTGGATGACGTGGGACGGCACCAGAGAGGACGCCACGAGTGGGAGGAAAGGCGTGGCGAAGGAGGACGCTACAAGGAGAAGGGAATGTGTTCACCGAATGATTCAACAGCAGGAGAAGGAGACCGGCAGCAAGGAGAGCGAGAGCAGCATCGCCAGGAGCGGTCTCCTCCGCGGAGAGAGCGGCAATGGGGTGATCAAGGAAGGCACAAGGGAGATCACGAAGAGCGGAGGAGGAGTCCGAGCCCGAGGAAAATAAGGAGGCCACGACAGCGCGGAGAAGGATCCAGCGGAGCGCGGGCGGCACGTGAAGGGCTTGAGCGAGTGCTGTATGGGACTAGCACAGGAAGCAGAGGAGAAAGAGGGAAGCAGAGAGGGGCTGAGCAAATAGATCGGGGAGGCTCTGGAAGCTGGGATGAGGGGAGATGGAGCGCGACAGCACAGCCAAGAGTGGAGGCGCCCGTACGCTTCACGTGGAACGAAGGTACAGGCCCAAGCCTTAAGAACTACCTGATGCAGATAAGCAACGTCAAGTATAGGTGCAATCGCAGCGGCATGGATCCCATCGACTTCTTCTTAAGCCTGCCAAACACGTTGGGAGGGGAAGCAGAAACCCTATACCGTATGAAGATGGGGGAGTGGCTGAGAAGGGCGGATAAGGATGACGAAGACCCCACGGTACTGTTCTTGGAGCGGCTAAGGAAGCATTTCCCTGGGCATACGGCAGCGCGCATCAGGGAATTCTAGGAGTTTAGGCGTAGGGATGAGGAGTCACTACCGACGGTTAATGAACCTGGCGGAAGACGTGGCATGTACGGACAGCAGCATGATCATCAGTAAGTTTCGGAACGGGTTAGACACGGGACTGGCAGGAGGGGTGAGAATGAGAGTTTATGAGCTAGGGTCGGAGGCATCACCTTTATGAGCTAGGGGCGGAGGCATCACCAGAAGAAGTGTTCGAGTTAGCGGAAAGGGTGGAGCTGGCACAGAGAAAATAAGAGGTGTACCTGCCAAGAGCAACAGAGAGGAAGAATCCTGCTTGGGCAGCAGCGATGGTGCCTAAGACAGGAGGAAGGGAGGAAGGACGGCAGGAGAGAGGAGCTGAGACACGCACCTGTCATCGGTGAAAGCAGCCGGGGCACTTGATGAGGAACTGCAGGAATTGCGACACCTGCGGGAAGCCGGGACACCGACGCAAGGATTGCCCAGATGCACTGACCTGCGAGGTGTGCGGGAAGTGGGGGCATAGGGGCAAAGACTGATACCAGCGCTCGGGAGGACAGCGAAGGACGCCGGAGGAGATAAAAGGTCAAATCGGCAAGCTGCAGGCACAACTGCAGGCATTGGGTGGAAAGCCAAAGAAAGAAGCAGGACTGTATGCGAGGGAAGACGATGATGAGGCGGAGGCGATAGAAGAGCCAAATCCAGGGTAACAGTTCATGGTGCTGCACAGCAAAGAGGACCTGGGCCTGCGTAGTGGGGGCAGAGACGGACGGAAGGAACACGTTGAAAGAGAGAAGGTGGCCAGTGAGCGACAAAGAGGAACAGCGGGACAGAACAGAGGAGCCTAGCCGCCACCCAAAAGACAGACTGACAAGTCAGGCCACGGTGCTAATGTTGGAGCCAGGAGCAGTGATGGTGGGAGGAGAAAAAGCCAAGTCAGCCATACTGGATACTGGAGCACAGAGCGTCATACTGGGTAAGCAGATGGCACAGAAGCTAGGACTGACAGGGCCAGGACAGAGTGTGAAGAAAGGGATGCTGGTGATGACAGCAGAGGGAGGCGAGCCTAAGTGGTTACCCTGCACGAAAACACCCATAGAAGTGACACTACTGCCATGACAGGAAGGGCAGACTTGTCTCCAAGTGCCATGCGGTATATCGGAGTCGGAAGACTTCGATGTACTGCTTGGGACGGATCTGATATGGGGCGTGGGCATGACCATCTGCACATGGAAGGAGCGGGTGCAGTTCCGGAAGCAGTACTGGATAAAGAGTTGTGAGGTGAGGGAGCTACTGGTGCAGTTTGTGAGACAGGAACCTAAGAGGGCATACGCGGTAGGTGAGGCAGGGAGAAAAGAAGCGGGAAGAGCGGGGCTGATCGGCAAGGCAGCGGCGGTAGGCGGATGGCAAGAACCGATACAGCTGGTAAAACTGTTCGGAGGCATCGGTGCAGGCCTGGCAGCAGTAGTGAAGGCAGGGATAGTGGTGAAGGAGTGGGTGTACGTAGAGAAGAACGAGAATGCCAGGAAGATGGCAGAACACCACGCCCGAATGCCCTAGAGGGAGAATCCTGAGCTGCTAGAGGCAAAGGTAATAGACAGAGCAATGCGGAGGACAGTGAATGATATGAGGGAGATTGCACCAAAAATGGTGGGAGATTGGGGACAGGTGGACCTGCTGGTGGCAGGATGGGAGTGCCAAGGGGAATCAAGGGCCGGAAAGGGAAGAGGGATGGAGGACCCCCGAGGAGCGATGCTGCTGGATCTACTGCGCATCATGGACTCGATCAAGGAGAGACAGGAGAAGTTGGCATGCCTTTGCCTTTACGCTACAAGAGCCGGGGAAATTTACAGTGAAGGAGATGGAGCTCAAGCTGACCACAAATGAGCTGGTGTTCCAGAGGAAGAGGCGGATGGCCCCAAGGGACAAGGATGTCTGCAGGGAAAAATGCAAGGAGCTGCTTGAAGCAGGCCTGATCCAGAGGTAGGAATCGGAATTTGCCATGCCTATAGTGATAGCTGCAAGGAAGGATCTTACGAGGGAGGTGCTGAGCAGGCGCATGTGTGGGGACTGCCAAGCGTTGAACAAGCTGACCGAGCCTGACAGGTACCCCATGCCAACAGCAGAAGAGATCTTCGACAAACTAGGGGAGGGGGAGATATTTAGCACATTAGATCTCCGGCAGGGCTTCAATCAGATCCGGATCAAGAAGGAGGATGTGCACAAGACAACATTTCACGGGACAGATGGTTTGTATGAGTAGCTGTTCATGCCATTCGGGCTACGAAACGCGTCAGCCATATTTCAACGCGTGATGGACAGTGTGCTGCAGGGGCTGGAGTGTGCGCCATGCTACGTAGATGACGTGGTCATCTTCAGCAAAACGGAGGAGGAGCATGTGAGAGATGTGGAACGTACCTTGGAGGCGCTGGCAGCGGCAGGACTGACCTGCCACCCAAAGAAGTGTCGGTGGGGGGAGACGATAGTGCAGTATCTGGGGTATGAGGTGAGGGGAGGCCAGATGGGGATCCATAAGGCTAAAGTCGCGGTGCTGGACCGACTACAACAGCCCAAGGACAGGAGCGGACTGCGGGCGGTACTGGGCTTTCTCAGCTATTACCGACGCTTTGTGCCCAATTTCAGCAAGCGAGCAGTGGCGCTGAACTCTCTGTTGAAGGAGGACAAGAAGTGGGAGTGGGGAGCAGAGTAGGAAGGGGCGTTGAGGGACTTAATGGAAGCAGTACAGACAGCGACAGTACTGCAAATGCCACATGCAGACAAGCCCTTTGCCCTATACACTGACTGGAGCAGCCAGGGCATGGGTGCAATCCTCTGCCAGGAGCTAGATGGGGAAGAGAGAGTAGTGGCATATGCAAGTAGGAGCTGCAACCCGGCGGAGGCAAAGTACAGCTCGTACCACGAGGAAGGGCTAGCAGCCGTATGGGCGGTGAAGTACTTTAGGGTGTATCTGCAGGGCAGGGAATTTACCTTAATCACTGACCATCAGCCGCTGCAGTGGTTGATGACACACCAGGGGTTGACGGAGAGAAACGCGCGCTGGGCGGTCACGCTATAGGAATATGACTTCAAGATACGGCACATGCCAGGGAAGACACTACAGCATGTAGACGGACTCTCAAGGAACCCGCCAACAACAGAACCAGTGCATATGCTGATGATGCTGGCCAAGCAGGAGGAGGTGGCTGTAGCAGTGAAGCAGAGAGGGCCGCAGGACATATGGGAGGATCCGGTGGCATCGCGGTGGATCAGAGGGGAGACGGAGGCAAATGAGCAAGTGTCAGACAGGGTAAGGGCACGAGGACATCATTACCGATGGTACCAAGGACAGCTGCAGCTGCAGTCGGTGGACGGGTGGAAGCTGGTGCTTGCACCACAGGAAAGAGAGGGTGTGATTGAGGAAGTGCACATGAAATTGGGGCATTTCGGGCATGAGCGCACAACTCAGCTGCTGAAAACAGGTTGGTGGTGGCAGGGAATGGGGAAACAGGTCAAGGAATGGGTGAGCGGATGCGAGGGCTGTCGGAGGAGCAAGGCCAGTTTGATGCAGGCGAAGCAGGAGCTGCAGTCATTGCCGATCAGAGGGCTGGGGTTTAGGTGGTCATTGGAATTAGCTGGCGAGCTGCCGCTGAGTAGAGGAGGGAAACGGTACATCTTGATCATGGTGGAACACGCTAGCAAGTGGCTGGAGGTCTACGCGATTCCAAGCAAAGGGTTAGGGCGTTTAATGGGCAGGTGTTATGCAGATTTGGGGCACCCGGGGAAGTCCTTACTGACCAGGGAACAGAGTTCAAGGGGGAATTTCAAGCACTGCTAGATGAGGCGAAGGTGACACACAGGCAGGCGTCCAGGTATCACCCCAGAGTGATGGACTGACGGAGCGCCTGATGCAGACCTTGAAGAGGAACCTGAGGGCGTATGGGGAGAAGCGGAAGAGGGACTGGGATGAGGAACTAGACTGGATTGCAGCAAGGTATAGGTTCGGAAAGCATGCGTCGCTGAAAGACTACTCCCCCTACAGTCTGCTGTTTGGGAAAGAGCCGATCCTACCTGTGGGAGCGCCAAGGGTGCTCACGGAAGTGGTGAGCGTGAAAGGGGCAGAACAGTGGGTCGCACTGGCAGAAGCAAGGGCAAGGTGCATGCGTGAGATGCTCCCTGCAGCGCTCGAGAACCTACACACGGCACAGCTGCGGGATGCACATCGATATGAGCAGCTGCAACAGCAGGGGGGAGGGAAATCTAAGCTAGCCGTAACGGAGGGACAACAAGTGTACCTGCGCAGGGCAAGGACGGACACGTTGGACGTCGGGTTGGGGACAGAGAGGTGGAAGGTGAAGGAAGTAAGGGGATCAGGGGTGCTGGTGTTGGAGAATGAGAGGGGTGAGCATACGGTGGATCACCAGACGAACACGGCGGCAGTGAAGGAGCGGGGACTTCAGCAGGAAGGTCCTGTGACACGTGCACGGGCAGCCCGAGCACAGGAGGGGGCAGGAAGTGGCTGAGGAAGCACAGACTATA